GTGTGGATGCACCACACACACACACACACACACACACACACACACACACACACACCATATGACACTTCTCGGGCAGTCTTCTTTTCCATCAAAACAACCTGGAGTTAAATAGCCATTGATTTCCAGTTAAGACCAGTAGTCTTTTAATTTGCGTAAGATGTGAGTATGGGCTAATCAATAATGCGAGTTACAGCCCATGATACCGTTGCATTGACTGAGAACTTCCCAAGGATGCCAGGGAAGCTGTGTAAGCAACTCACTGGACTTCAATGCGTAGGGAGTTACTGCTAGAAAGAGTTTTTGAGAAGAGGTAGTTGTAGCTATTTCTAAGAATTGTGATCGTGTCTATTTCAGTTTCCTTTTCTCCTGTCTTCTGAGCCCAGCTGCGACATTAGAGGGGAGTGTGTGCCTCCGGTAGATTCGCTGGGACCCTTGCTGAGTGAAGGGCAGGGTAAACAGGCTGCCCTGTCCCTCCCTTGGCACTGGGGGTGCTGGGTGGGCTTCAGCAGATCCTCCTGTTAGTCGGACCGGGATTAGTACCTGCTTTCCCGTGTGCCAGCTGTTCCAAGATGAAGAGACTTGGAAATAGTTCTTGCCTTTCGACCAGTAATTTCAAACTTTTTTTCTTTAATGATATTTTAAATCATCAAAATGCTTTTTAAAAACCCCAAATAGATTTTGTAACCTTTTGAATAATTACAGCAGCCACTAACCACAAAGTTAGCAGTTTGAAGCCACTCCACAGGAAAACAATAAGGCTTTCTACTCCCATACAGAGTTAGCGTCTTGGAAACTCACAGGGGCAGTTCTGCCCTGTCTTGTAGGGTCGCTATGAGTCAGAATCGACTCGGTGGCAGTGCTTGTTTATTTCTGATATTAGTATCAGGAGGTTCCCATAAATTATAAGCAGTGTGCCCTTGATTACTAGCCTAAAGGTTGGCAGTTTGAACCCACCCATGGTGCCATGGGGAAAAAAATCCTGGCAAACTGCTCTGTAAAGTTTAAAGCCAAGAAAATCCTATGGGGCTGTTTTACTCCAACACACGGGGTCTCTGGCTCAGAATTGACTCAACCACAGATCTCGGTGACAGCATAGTTGCTGCACGAGTCCTGCAGAGCTACACTGTGCTCACTGCATTGCTGCTCTCAGCACATTCCAACCTCACGTAGCCCTATGAGGCAGCTACTATTCCCTGCATTTTACCCACCAGGGGCCGGGTGGTTGGGCAAGTGGTGTAAATTGCTAAAGGTTGCACAGGTTCTAAGAGGCAAAGGAGCTTCAGCTCAGGCAAGTGATCTTAAGCTGGGTCCATTACAGATTATACAGATGAGGGGCCTCACAACATTTGTGGGACAGCTTTACTGTTTTTGTCATTGAGCTGACCCTGATGCATGGTGATCTTGTGTGCGTTTTGCAGCAATTGTGTCCCCCAAGGTTTTTAACAGCTGAGTGCATTTTCGTGCTTTTGAACGAACTTGAAATTCCAATTTCTTCTGAAAAATGCTTTATTGCTTATATCACTGAGGGACACTCTGACTCATTTTCTCTCTCTCTCTTTCTACACACACACACACACACACAGACACACACACACAGACACACACACACACAATGTGTGTATAAATATACATGTATTGTAACTTTATATGAGTGGGTTTCAAAGATTTGTGGAAAAATTACATTACAATTCTGTTTTTTTTCCACAAAGTTTTTAATCCCTCCATATAAGGAGCCCTAGTGGTTTAGTGCTTAGCTGCTAACTGAAAGGTTGGAAGTTCGAATCCACTAGCTGCTCTTTGTAAGAAAGATGTGGCAGTCTGGTTTTGTAAAGATTACAGCCTCACAAACCTATGTGGCAGTTCACCTCTATGCCATAGGGTAGCTATGAGGTAGATTAGACTTGATGGCAACTTAATGGGTTTGTTAGTCTGGGTAAACTAGGGAAACAAATCCACAGAAACTCATATGTATAAGAGAGTTTTATATAAAGGGTAATTGTATATTAAGAAAGCATCCCAACCCAGTGCTGTCCAAGCCCATAAGTCCAACATTAGCCCATATGTCTGACACCAATCTACAAAGTCCAACTCCATCTCACAAAACACACAGTATGACGCCAACTGCAGGAGGAAAGCCCAATCAGTGAATGTGTAAGCATCTCAGCACTGGCAGGGCTCTCCACACGGCTGTGCCACCACCCAGGGCTGCATCAGGGTAGGTCCATGTGGCTTCTCCTCAGGGATGTCTTGCGGGAAGTGAGCCTTGCCAGCTGAAGCAGGGGACTGGCTAAGGCAGCTGCACCCTGGACTGACCATCAGAAAGCAAGAGACCTGAGAACTAGAAAGGCGAGGCTTACCGAGACATTTATCTTTCCGCCTTTCAATTGATCCCACATGTGTTTATTGGCCAGGTAGGCACAATCAACCTTAACTATCTCAAAGGGCAACAACAACAATAAAAAACCATATGCATGTATATATATTTAATAGCTAAATAAATAGATATATTTCGTTTAACAATATATACCCTCATCTCAAAATTCACTGCCGTAGAGTCGATGCTGACCCATAGTGACCCTGTGGACAGGATAGAACTGCACCTGTGGGTTTTCAAGGCTGTATAGGAATAGAACTCTTTCCAGGAGTAGTTTCATCTTTCTCCTAAGGAATAGCTGGTGGTTTCGAACTGCTGACCTTGTAACCTACTATGCCACCAGGTTCCTATAAGTATGTATATTAAATATACATATACATATTTAACATATAACATACACATATACGTATTTAATCGAAATACTTGGAGTAAATATGCATACATATTAAACACATGTATACATACTTATATGTATATATATGTATATATATTTCAGTGCTATAATACCTTTCCTTAAAAAAACAAAGGACGCTGCACTTGTGTGTGTGTGTGTGTGTGTGTGTGTGCTTGCAAAGGTAACTCCCATTCTGGGGTACAGAGATTGAAAATTTTTGCTCTAGAACTCCTCAGAGGAAAGTTTCCTTAGCATGGCCCCTCGAAGAAGTGCCTGAGCTCCCACAATACCAGTCTTGGCAGATCCTTGAGACCAACTGTCTTGGGCACTCTCAGATCCACCCTCTGCTTTCTAGGCCAGCTCAATCTAGCTTCCAGCATGTTGAGACTTGTGATTTATTGTTTCAGTTTTAGAAAATCATAAATTGAAGTTAACACGACAAGCAAAGCAGAACTGTTGAGGAGCACCGTTATTCTCCAGGTTGTGAATGAGGGTTAGGTCCTCTGGAAGTTCTTTATCACAAAAGACCATGGCTCAGCTGGGGTTTCCTTGCCAGCTCATTGCCTGTGCTGGGAAGGAAAGAATGCCAGCGTGCCCCACCGTTGTTGCTTTTGCTTCTTTTCATCTCCTTTGAGTTCATCTGCGATCATATTCTCAATTTTCCTTGCAGACCACACGCTTTGCCTTTGTCCAGCCACTTCTAGGGATTACGTCCTTAGGGGAGTTACTTAGCCTCTTTGAGCTTCTTTGCTGAAGAGTCCCAAGTAGCTTAAACCTCCCAGGGCTCTGGGAGGATGGAGTGAGTGAAGCTGTGGAAAAAGGCCTCAGCCTTTGTGGCCACTCCATTCTTCTCTCACTACCTTCCTCCGTGTGTTGGAAACTCTGGCTGTGGTCCTTGCCTCCAGTGGACATGCTAGAGCCTGATTTCTGTCCACGTGAGTCTAGGGCTGAGGAAATGCAATGCAGTAGGGGGTGGTGGATGATAGGGCGGGGAGTTCTGTCGTACCACAGGCGAAAGTATATAGCCCCACTTTCCACAGCGGTTCCTTCTGCTCCAAGTATCATCTTTTCAAAAGAAAAAAACAAAT